CCAGACCCCGGGGCAGCTGACGGGCGCCTGCCCCCGACCCGGGCTCCGCAGGTGGGGCCTCAGCCGCTGGGGAGCCACACTGGCAGCCCCTCTCCCTTCGTGCTGGGTCTGGCCTGGCATCTCTGGCGTCTTGGAGAGCACATGACCCAGGAGCCTGGGCCAGGGCAGAGCTTTCCTCTCAGGCTAGGCCGCCCCACACCCCCGGCACCCTGACCGCGGGCACAGGCGGGCTGAGGGGGTTCTAATCCCTCCTGTGTGTCTCTTTTCTAAGAGCTCCAAAGCTACCGATGTGCTTGGTCTTAAAAAGTTACCCGTCCATGGTCACCAGGGACAAGATCACCGCAGCCTCGTCCATCACCGCCAGCTGCTACCCCGGCCTCCAGCTCTACGACGAGTGTCAGCTGTGCGCTGACTCCAAGTCCCTGCCGCCCGGCTTCTGCGACGTGAGCGAGGGGCTCTGACCGGCGGCCCTGGCGCCTGCAGGGCGACCTTTCTTAGCAGAATGTTTTATTCGAGTCGTTTTATAGTGTCCCCACTGTGGTATGTGCTACAGGACATTCGTGTGCTTTTGAATAAATGCAGAATTGAAAATACCCGTTCCGCCTCGGGGATGTTTGGTGTCGTTAGCGAGCCATGTAATGGCACTGGGCATCACCCACTTTGGGACGTGGAGCAACCGGCTGTAATGTCGCGTGCAGCACAGGCGGGAGGGCGCTGGGGATGAAAACTTCTTATCCCTGCCGCCTCGGGGAAGGGAACGCCATCTCCGGAAGAGACACGTTTCCTGGCGGGACGCTCTGCCTGGAGCCCCTCTGAGACTCAGAACCGGTCCTTCCATTTGCACTCGACGAGGATCAGAACGGATCCCCAGCCTGTGCTGACCGAAGGGCCCGCCGTCCGTCTCCTCCCGGCCTGGAGCCTGACTTGAGCTTTGAAGGGACAAGGTTTCCGGGGGAACCCTCCTCTGGCAGCACTGGCTCTTCACCGCAGAGGCCAGGTCAGCAGGAGCGGAAGGAGGAGGGGAGAGTCCTGGGTGCAGGGCAGGGGGAGCTGTGGACGAGGCAGAGATAAAACCTGGGCCAGGCCGAAACCGGTTTGGCTCAGTGGATAGAGCGTCAGCCTGCAGACTGAAAGGTCCCAGGTTCGATTCCAGTCAAGGGCATGTACCTGGGTTGCGGGCATATCCCCAGTAGGGGATGTGCAGGAGGCAGCTGATCGACGTTTCTCTCTCATCGATGTTTCTAACTCTCTATCTCTCTCCCTTCCTCTCTGTAAAAAATCAATAAAATATATTTAAAAAAAAAAACAAAAAAAAAAACCTGGGCCAGGTAAGGGGCTCCGGGCTTACACCCCAGGCCTAGGACCCAGCTGCTCGCCGACACCCGAGATGTGATACCAGAGCCCTAATGTGCAGACTGCACAGCCCATGCAGCGAAGCCATTAACGCATTCCATTCACACTGGCAAACACTACCTGAGAGACCACTGGGATACTGCTTCCCAATCACATCTCCCGTCAGACACACGCAGAGGAATCTAGCATTGGTTTTTCAGCTACCTGCATCTCTGTTTATCCGTGGTCCTCGCTCTGGGGGTAGCAATGTGGCTACAACCTTGGGGAGGCATTTTCGAAATCAGTGAAGAGACTACACACCAGAAGCTATAAAACTTGACTGGCGGGCTCAACTTGAGGTGAGACGGAACTCTCGAGAATGACAAGGAAATACCCCGTAACTGCGCGCCGTGAACGCCCATGAGCGAGGGAAGGCTGGGCAGGTGGCTGCCGTGTGCCCTCCCATGTCCTCTGTACAGGATCTGGAAATGGAGCAGATTCCTACACAAGCAGAGCTCCAAGGACAATAAAGCACTTGTATTCCCTCATGTGGTTTCCAAAATGGACGCGTTTATTTTTAGATGCAAATACATCCCCTTCAGCACATGCAATCGTTACACTTCCTGACGGCTTCGCCGGCAGTGAGCACGGCCATCTCCTCGCCCACGCTGCCCTCAGGGCACACCCGGTGCTCACACCCAGCACAGGCGGGGACGGGCATCAGCAGGCGAGGGGTGGATGGAGATACAACAAGGTAACCACACTCGCGTCCCGTCCAACACAAACGTCCAGCAACGAACCTCCGCGGAGGGGCGCGGACCTCCCTCCTGTCACCGCGGCACAGGAAGCCAGCGCCCCCCACCGCCCCCCCGCCCCCAGGGACATAGAGGGCCGACCTGCGCCTGTTCTCAGGGAGCAGCCAGTGCAAGTCCGTGAGCGCAGAGGTTCCGACTTACGGATAACCAAAGAGAAAAACAACTATCAAATCCACAGTGCAGTATTTCTCTCCCTCCTAAGATGAGGAAATAAGGTCTTTCATAGATAAAAATACACTTCTATCAAACACACTGCATGGGACAGCCTTAAAAATTTTAAATACTTAAAACAACATCAAGGGACACAAATCTCTGTAAGAGTGATCAACTCTGCAAACAAAAATAACTCCTGACCCGATCACGCTCACACTCAGGCACGGGGTTTACATCACAAGCACAGGGAAGGTCATCCACTCTCAGGTGTGGCACGAGGTCACGTCGCAAGCTCACGGAAGGTCATCCACTCTCAGGTGTGGCACGAGGCCACGTCGCAAGCTCACGGAAGGTCATCCACTCTCAGGTGTGGCACGAGGCCACGTTGCAAGCTCACGGAAGGTCATCCACTCTCAGGTGTGGCACGAGGCCACGTCACAAGCTCAGGGAAGGTCACCCACTCATGCAGCCGGGGTTCACGTCACAAGCACGCCACGTCGCAAGCTCAGGGAAGGTCATCCACTCTCAGGTGTGGCACGAGGCCACGTTGCAAGCTCACGGAAGGTCATCCACTCTCAGGTGTGGCACGAGGCCACGTCACAAGCTCAGGGAAGGTCACCCACTCATGCAGCCGGGGTTCACGTCACAAGCACAGGGAATGAACGCTGAGGTCACTTGATGCAAGTAGGATGCTGATCCTCCAATGACATCGACACGGGTGGGAGCTTTGGGTCGCGTGGTAATAAATAGGTAATAAACATCTGCATGCACGGCGCACGGAGCGCCTATCTCTCTCCGTTGGAGAGTCTGTCTCCAGAGTCGTAGCGCGTGAGCGGCAGCCCCGGGGGCGGGGAGCCGGGGCTCTGCAGCAGGTGCGCCAGCAGCGCCACCTTGCCATCCACGTGCTCCTGCAGGGCGCGCAGCCGCTCGTCCAGGTAGTCCGTCAGCCTCCGCTCCATCAGCTCCAGGTTCTTACACAGAATCTTTTCCAAGTAGGAGCAGGCGGGCGGCTCTCCCATCCCACCACCAAGGCCGCCTTCGCTGGGCGTGGGGACGTGTCCCGGCCACGCGGCGCTCTGAGCCCCACGGAGCCGGCGCACCTGCCCGCACACGTCCTGCAGGAGGGGCAGCAGCTCGGGGGCAGGGGCCGCGGGGCTGTCACTCGGCCTCTTTGGTAAGGAAGACGCCGCTGCGAGCTGAAGGTCGCTCCCCGGGAGAGGATGGCTCTGGGGCGCAGTGTCCCACTCTCCCAGGGGTGCGGGGTTCCCTCCTCCGGGGGGCCGTGCGTTCTCCTCCCCGGGAGCTGTCACGTCTTCTGTCCCGCGCGTCCCGAAGTCAGCCGGGCTCTGAGAGGCACAGGTGCGCAGGTCGGCCTGTCGCAGGTTCCCGAGGGCGCCGAGGCCCACAGGCCCAGCATCCGCCTGGAGGCAGCGCTCCCCAGAACCGCCTGCAGCCGCTCCCCCAGGGGAATGCAGCTTACAACTGCACGGGCAGAGTTAATAGTGCCTTCCTGACTCATGGAGGTAAACGCGGGCTCTCCACCGAGGCTCAGGAAGGGGTCGTGTCCACAGAATTAAGTATCACCTGTCACTTCCCACGTGGTCGCCAACCTGGGGATGTCCCAGGACCCACAGGCTGGAGGCGCCCATACTTCCCGCTTGTGCGGTGGGAAATCTGTGACGCCTGCAACATCTAGACGTTCCGTGTGGAACAAGAGCTCCCTCTGAGCTCCGTCTGCCTCCGTCGTTTGTAGGCCAATAGATTGTGTTTTGGGTCCTCAACTCAACGGGATATATTTTCTCCCAGCAAACAGGCCCGTCCCTGCTGCTGGAACCTGACCACACTCATCAGCTGCTGAGCTCCAGGGGACAGCGTGGACCCCATGGCCTCCACCACGCGTGGACCCTCTCGAGGTCCACCCTGGGCCCCAGAGCAGGAGCGCTGGTGGGAGACTTTGCTGGGACGGGTCGCACGTGCACCACAACTTTACTGACGAACGCACACGGCTTTTCACCAAAGGAGAGCAACTTTATTTTACAAGCATGTGCAGCGGACTCCAATTTTAGACATTTTTTGTGCAAAATAAACTTTCCGTGTTCACTGGTATCCAGCACATTACCAACACTCCTGCCCCTATGGTGCCACAGTACTCCTCTCCTAAGTACACTTCCATATTTCTTGCTGAACTTAAAATGCCCACAGAAGCGATTCCTTCACCTCCACGGGGGTCACAGCGCAGGGAGAGGAAGCAGGACTTTTCACCCGGGCTCTTCTGGGTCCTGTTCAGAATCACCAGGTCGCGGCTGTCAATCAGGGTCGGGAGAGGCCGCGGAGCCCGGCGGCCCGGGGGTCAGTTCCTCGCCGGTTCCTTG